ATGACATTTAAAAAAAAAAAGCGAGCAAGACAAAAGTCTCTTTCCATACAATGTAATCATGTCTATCTTCAGAAAACACGTAACTTAGAATTTCTTTCAGGATTAGACCTAAGATGGGGAGGAAAAAAAAAAAGGGACAAGAAAACTTCAATAAATTTGTCATTTTCATTATCTCAAACTATTTCAAAAGCTATCTGGTGCAAGTCCACACCAGAACATAGTGAGTGCATACTGCTTTTAAAAACCCCATTCCTAATTTTTGTAGGCTTGGTATTACATACAAAAATAAATACAAGAATGTAGAAAATTTCAGCATAAATTCATCACTCCCACATTAAGGAAATATCAGAATCTGCCTGCATAATTTTATTTTTTTTCTGTTATGCTCCTGATTCCCACATCTTTGTATGCATATATAGTTTTCCACCTCACGGTCACACACTTAATTTTCCTCCAGATACCAAAAACCATGAGTGCCTAGAATATATAATGAACAACTAATCAATATTTCTTTTCATCTCTTTTATTCAGCGTTAATCTCAAACAACATTGATCTTTTGGCATTCAAGACTGATATTTTAATGAAAAGTTTAGTTGAGAGAAAAGATTTTAAATATAAAGCCTTCTGCCTTTGCTCTTTCATTTCCTGGTCCCATCCCCTCTTCCTTCTGCTCTTGCCTCAAACTCATTTCACCTTCCCTCAGGTCCACCATGCTGCATTATCCAGTGCATGATAGCACAAGTCCTCATGCAGTGACACAAAACCAGAGCTAAGACAGACTTCCCGCTGCACCAAGTAAACTTTCATCTGCCTAATCACCATTCATGCAGAGGAAGGGAAAGAAAAACACGCTGAACATGGTGCCAGAGCAGAACCTGCAACCCAGATGAGACTGGTTCAAGCTGTCATGGAGCCACACTGTGAGTGACAGAGAAACCTGCCCTTCCATGGCACGGGACCTTGCTATTAAACCACGCATAAGGGGAACAAAACATGAGACCCTACCATTAACCTATACATACCAGAAGGATCCATCCAGACCAGAACTTCAGAAATCTTACTAAAAACTCTTTTTCCTTCTGCCTTATGACTGAGATGCAACATCTAGCACAACAGAATGGAGGTAACACTGTGGAGAAGGACTTGGGGGTCTTGATAGATGAAAAGCTTAACATGAGCCAGCAGTGTGCCCTTGCAGCTCGGAAAGCAAATGGTATTCTGGGCTCAGGCAGAAGAAGAGTGGCCAGCAGGGACAGGGAGGTGATTGTCCCCCTCTACTATGCTCTTGTGAGGCCCTATCTGGAGTACTGTGTCCAGGTCTGGAGCCCCCAGTACAAGAAAGACAGAGAGCTGTTGGAGAGGGTCCAGAGGAGAACCATGAAGAAGATCAGGGACTGGGACACCTCCTCTATGAAGACAGGCTGAGGGAACTGGGCTTGTTCAGCCTGGAGAAAGGAAGGTTGTGAGGTGACCTCATTGCAGCCTTTCAATACCTAAAGGGAGCCTACAAACAGGAGGGGAATCAACTCTTTGAAAGGGTTGATAACAGGAGAAATGGTTTTAAGCTGAGGGAGGGAAGATTTAGGTTAGGGGAAATTCTTTACAGAGTGGTGAGGCACTGGAACAGGCTGCCCAGAGAGGTTGTGGACGCCCCAGCCCTAGAAGTGTTCAAGGCCAGACTGGATGGGGCCCTGGGCAGCCTGGTCTAGAATTAAATGTGAAGGTTGGTGACCCTGCACGTGACAAGGGGGTTGGAGATTCATGATTCTTGAAGTCCCTTCCAACCCTAGCCATTGCGTGATTCAGTGATGCTGTGATAACACAAAGCAATTTATTATGACTTGTAAAAAGTTTCCATCGTTTGTTTTTCTTTTCTTTTTAAACACAGCTTAACTGTGTTACAAAGTATGTGCATATTCATCAGCCTGTATAGTTAGTTGCCTTATGTGGGGTTTTCCCTGGGTATACCCCAGCTCAAATAGATTGGCATGTGGCAACTTAGGCTGGGTATAAAAAGCACAGGAAGAAGTTAGAAGATCCTTGATAGGAATGGGCATTTTTACCTACTACCCAATGGATAACAACACATAACCCCATTTTATTTACTTTTTTAATCTTAATAAAGAATATCTTATACTGTTCTTGTTTTGCACGACATTGCTCTCTTTAGCCTCTGTATTACATTTGTATGAGTGTTCAAACAAAAACAAAGTCTGCTAAAAATGTTTCTGTTTCAGCTTCTACCAGCTAAAAAGCATAGGGCCTGCTACAGCACTGAGCATAAGCAGTACATAAATGGACATACGTAGGTTTCAAAAGCACAGATCAGAACTGGCATGAAGTATACGTCCATATATATCTTACCATACACAAATACATAAGTAGTTGCACAACCCGTATATCCTCGGTAGATTCTGCAGAAAAACATGGAAAAACGTCCAGGTGTAAATATGAAGAACTGATGTTACATTTACCTGTCAGTCAACAGAGCTGTGGAAGGAAGGAATTAAAAGCATGAATTTAAAATAGAAAGCAGGAAGGGAAAGAATTGTAACTGTAGACAATTTTGCTGACCTAAGCAGAAAAGTGAACAAATTGGAAAAAGAGTTGTGTAATAGAAAGCTGTTGTGTTATGTAGGCATTACTGATCTTTTCACACCATATAGATCAACTTAATGTACATTAGATTTGAATACAGATGACATGTTAGCAAGAAATACTTCCCACTTAGTTGTTTCTACAAACATACATATGATTCTATGAAGAACTAGATAAAAAAATATATCAGTAAACAGGATACAATGTAGATTCTTACATTAAAATTTGTGTATGCATATAGTGTATCTCCATGCATTTTAAGATTTTTATTTCTCTATCTGCTTCCTTGAAACTCAAAAAAAAAAAAAAAAAAAAAAAAAAAAAATTAGTTACTGTGATAAAATTCAGTTTAAAAAATGCAGAGACTGCTGAATGCCTAAGTAAGCCATTGTCAGCTGGCTGGCTCATAATCGTCTTTCCTGTGTCAGGATCACTGATGCATTAATTGCTTATCTAAGTTTTCAGCAGTTCATGAGTCACTCTGAAGATAAATAAATAAATAAATATTAATGAGCCGATTCAGTCTTAGAGGGTAAAGGGGTCCAAGACAACTGGTTGCTCTTCA